TGGGCCGACGAACTTTTCCCTGCTGCTGCATTGCGGGCGAAACTGCACGGCGATGCGGAGTACAGCGTTAATTTTTGTTTATTTTCTCACGCACACGCGTCAGCTCTCGTCTCCCGATAGATCCTCCGCAACGATCCTTTTTTTCCGCCTCTCTCCAATCTTCCTCCCTTTCCCGCTTCCCTCTTGAACGGGAAGCGCTGATGAAAGCCCCATAGTTAATTACGGGAAAAACGCGCAGAGATATTTGCCGCTTAATAACAAGTTGGCGTATTCTATCGTAATTAGTGTAAATTAAGGTAAATGAATTTATTAACGATCGATGTTACAGCGAGAGAGTTTTCGTTATTCCCCCGCGCATTAATCATATAATGTTCCGGCCTTGCGCGCGCGCGCGCGCGTAACTATGTTGCGTTAATTGGCAATTATTTCACGATAACGTTGTAGGATCAATAGTGTTTGTCGAACATCGCTGATCCCGGCATTAAAACAAATAGGTGTGCGGTATGCAAACCAACACGCCAATTAACGCTGCGCCATTAAACCGACGAAGTTCGCGTGTAGCAGCGTCCATTTTGTGGCCAAGTAGCGTAATTCGTCGGAGTTAAATTAATTTCATTTAATTAGAGTGACGGAATTTTTTTCCTCCTTCTTATACGCACGTATGAATCAAGGTCGCGAATGTTGGCGCGCAATTTCCTCGCGGTTTCTCGGCGAAGGATAAAGCCGAGGCGAATGCGAGCGATTCTTCTCGCTCCTTTGTATCGTCCCCATTTGCGCCGTCTTTCGATCCTCAAATCCCGTCTTTAGTTACTCAAAGCTCCATTAGCTACCGCGAGTGAAATTGATGTGAAAAATATTGCCTCGGTCGGAGGACGTTCGCGTTCACAATCTCGCCTCGCTTTTGTCCCCGAGTGATCCTGATTATTAAGGAATCGATATTGGCATTATTGATAATATTAATTTAGATAATAGTATTGATAATATTGATTATATATTTGTTAGTCTCTCGTCGCTGCTTTTTTCTGTCTACCACAGTCAATTCTTATAAGAAATGTGACTGGCTGCAGTTCTAAACAGAATCGTAAGTCTTGTGACTTGTTCTCGTAAGATTCGTAAAAATCGAACTTTCTCTTGCCGATTTTCAAAAGTAGCCCCGACAGAAATTCTGCCTCTGTCATCTGCATTGATTAAATACAAAGTACCTGCGATATCGTAGTGTTTACCAGTCATTTATATCTTGGCTAATTTCTCGTATCTAGGTTTTTTTGCTATAATTGCAAAACCATCTTTTTTTTCGGTGTAATGTTTGTCGTCATGGCGGCGCGATGTCGCGAAACGTTCTCGCAAAGTGGAGACGCGCGAGGTGTCGTCCCCAAAGCGGATGTCCTCGTTGCTCATTGTGTTACAATGTACCTGCATCGCATGATTGCGCAATAATGATTCACTGGCGATGACACCACGCGCGCGCGATGTCCTCGAAATGAGTGTCCCTCGCGAGGAAGAAGCACCATCGTCTGAGTTACGGTAAACACACTTAGTGTACGACCGCGCCGTTCTTTCAAACCGGACGAGAGAGAGGTTTGTCGCTCCATCAGTTGTGCCGTTTAATATAATGGCGTTTCCGTCTGGTTGCTTCCAGTGTATCGGCTGTGTACTCGACTCCTCGTCTTTGAGGGACGACACAAGAGAGAGTCCCTACGAATTGCTCGTCGCATACGAAGCGTGTAACGTATTAGATATTAATTGCGATCTACAGTCGCACACATCGTGAAAAAGTTCAGTCGGGGCAACTCGAGTCGAATTGGACGAACTCCATTTCGAAATCACACATTGACGGCGGACTAACCTGTCCGAACTGTGCACTTTCAGTCTTTTCGTTGTGTAAAACAAACCGCAGCTGAACAAAGCGAACTTGTGAAGCTGATTCAGCACACTGTTGCTCGTATTTATCGTTTGATTTACTGAACCCCCGAATCAGAGATACATAGAATTGTTCGTATTATGCAGTTTGTGTGACAATTTGCGCGAGTACACGAATGCTGCCAAAACGTCGGCGTGATCGTAAATAACGACAGCGATCGCCCGGTCGGTGAGCAATCTGTTTCCTTTGAATGCCACAGAGAGGATAAAATCGACGCTCAAAACTCGAGCCGATCTTTTTTGACTTTGTACAATCTTCCAGAGGCAAACATGAAATGTTTACACGACCACCGCGTCGTTACGTCGTCCCATCGCCCTCTGTCCCGCGACTGCGATTACAAATTCTAAATTATCTAAAGCCACGATACAGCAAATAGGCAGACGAGTTAGGGTTAACAGCTGCGAGAACGCAGTTACGAATTAACGTCGCGCCGCCGGCGAGGCCCCTCGCGATGTGTCGTTACCTCAAAAATTTAACACGAGCTCGTAACAGGATCCGCACATTATGCGGAACTGTAAACCGCATAATTAACAAAAGAGTGGAGAGAGCCGCGTACACTCGCACTACGAGAGTCCCTTTGAGCCGCGCGATATTTCGCCGCGGAGCGGCGAATCGTAATTGGGTCAGCCTGAGCACCTGTCGCGGGCCACTTAATCCTGAATTGCTCTCGAGTGTCAAAGGAAACCGGGTTAGTGTAGAAACAATGCGCCGCGATACAACAGATCGAGCCACGACGAGACCACGGCGTGTATCACGTCGTCGACGAGGACGACGACGACGACTGCCGAGTCTTCTCTCGTCGCGATGGACAAGTAGTGTGTTAAATGTATTCCTTTTGAGAACTCGATCGGGTGGCTCTCTCCACGCGAGGAAATGGCAAACAGGAGAATTCTTTGTTTTCATTTCAGTTGAATCGTAATCGTCGAGCCGGCGCGAGCAGTGTTGTGAAATTATCACGCGATTATTTCGCGACTGTGTTTCGACGATCTCGTGGAAAATTGCCTCGCGAAATAAACTCGAGTCTGCAGGCGGGGAGATTGACAGAAGGAGCTGAGATGTAGTCGTGTGGCAGACATTTTTCTCAACAATTTTTTCGTCAATATCACCATAGAAGTTTGTGACCGAGAAACAGATCGACATTCTACAGTAATCTATTATCCTTTCATTTCACGCTTGCCCTATTTATGTTTTAGCAGTTGAAATTTGCTGTGTTTCTAACGAAATTCACCGTGTTTTTAGCAAGATATTGACCTTACTGTTAGTCTTTCTCTGCACTACTAAAAACATAATGAAATTTTGAAAAGAATTTACATGAAAGAAAAAGCAAGCTATATAATATCCTCCCTACGTTGAATTGAAAAGAATTTATATGAAAAAAAAAACAAACTATAATATCTTCGTGTTGAATGGAAAAGAAGTTACATGAAAAGTAAAAGTATCAATGTCCGGACGTACCTAATCCTGGACATTCTTTTTGTTTTAGTCTTTAAATACAAATATTTAAATTTTCAGCATAAAATATATGTACAAGTGTTAAATATATACATACTTATGTATGTATATACTACATAAGTGTATATACATACATAAGTGTTGAGTATATACAACATATCCATATTGAAAGTTTAAATATTAATATTTAAGACTTAAATAGTAAAAATGCCGAGGATTAGATACATGTTCGGAAATTGATAGTTTTACCTTCTCTCCATTCGACTCGCATATCTCATACCTATATCCGAATTGTTCGACGTTTATTATAAGAACAGTCGGCCCCGTCCAATTGCACGATGTTTTCAAGTGAAAGTTTCTCGAGTATCTTGCTCGAGCTAATAAAAACGAACTAACATTTATCCCTTGCGATCCCCAAGAATTGTTTACAAACATTCCAGTTGCTCATTTCGACGAGCGAGCAGAACGTGGGACGGGCAGCAAGCTTAGCTGCGCTTACCCGTGCGGAACTCTAACAGCTATATCTCATAATGACGACGCGACTCCGTAATTGCTTCGAGTAGATCGGTCTATCTCGTGACGCTGGACGTCGGCGTCCACCTCGTCGTGGGAGAGCGGAACATGTTAAAACCGTTCTCGAGTACTCAATTATGACGAACGTATTCTCACTTTTTTCATGCCGCGGCCTTCGAATATTAACGTGACGTGTCTCGCCTCGGGGACAATTCGCTCATCATACGCGTTCGCGATACTCCGTCATCCTACGCGGGCGTGTAAACTTCACCGTACTATTCTCACCTGCGGAAAGGCAGTCACACTCGTAAAACGCAGCGTGTGCGTTACGTTACCGCGTGACGCGCGCGCCGTCGCGTCTGCAGCGCGGAATTTCTTCCTCCGAAAAATGGACACAGATGTCTCAGGCGCATCCAACGATTTACCGAGAACATCGCTGACGACTCAGCAACTCTCGATTCCGTCGGGTTTCCTCATGGAGATCCCCGCGCGGTCTCGGCCGAACTATCGCGATTCCGAGGCGACGAATCTGAAATTCATTTCACGCGCCGGGAACGCGCGTGTTCCCGCCTTCTCGTTGGCACTGAGGGTAAAGTGTTCGCGATTTGCGACTGTAATTGCACGATGAAGTGATTACAGTCGGGAAAGAGAGGAGTTTCTGCAGTAAGCGCTACCATAGTCTTCGATAATAATGTCGCGTCCGCGCGTATTGCTGTTACTTTTTCGTTGGGACAAGTAGACGTGGTTGGCGCCGAAGATGACTGTGACTTGCAGCGGAATTAGCGATTTCCTTCTCTCAGTATGTCCTATGAGAACGAGAAAATATAAAATGAATCGACAATGCGATGCGAATGGACAATATCATCTCAGCGCAAAATAGCCGGCGATGGTCGATGTTTCGCCTTTAACGAACTGTCAGGCGGTTTCGTAACGAGAAAGAGAAGTGTCGTTCACCTTATAATTCGCTCGGCCGATATTTTCATTAGCAACGCGCGCACAAGTGGCACCGCGTCCGGATCCGCGTCGGCACGACGCGACGTTTTAGTCTTTAATCGTGGAGAGGGAGGGGGACTGGTGACACACACCGAGCGTGACCCGCTTTCGTTTGTTGCAGGGGTGCTGGAGATGGCGGCCACCGAGAGCACGATCCGATTTAGCGGCCACACGTTGGACAAGGCAACCAAGGCCAAGGTGAGTCTGGATTTAGTTTCCGCTTGATTATTTCATTAAGATAGAGCTGCCGATCCGCTCTCTGTACGCTCCGTTCGTCAACCGCCTGACAGAGAGACAGACAGACAGTGATTCAGTGCACGGGGAATAGCGCAATATCGACGCGATTAGGATCACGACGGGATCGTGTTGTTTGAGCTTCCTCGACGATTCCTTCCCGCAATGGTCTAATCCGGCGCGAACGTTTATGAGTCTGTCTCGACGCTGTCAAGCGATTTTTTTATATTAAATCTTCTGTCAGCGGGGGGGGATCACTCAGGATTAAGTGACGAACGAAATTTTCCATTGCCAATTCACCTCCAGAAAAATAGGATCTCATCCTTAAGCAAAAACTTTTACCGAAAGAATACTTTTCTTCTAATGAAGAGGAATAATATTGTGTTTAAGATTTTTTCTCATCTCTTCTTTTTTGGTTTTGGAATGATTCTCTTGAAGCCATCTGTAAGAAAATTTCGCTAAGGGTGAAATTATATTTTTTGGAATATTTCAATTTTGTTTGGGAATTTTCATTGAGAATTGAAACGTACGGCTGTAATTTTTAAATTGATTTTAGTGATTTTTTAATTAACTGAAGTGATTTCTCACGGTTTCTTTCTCTCTTTCTTTCTCTGTCTCTTAGAATCCCCCAGTCTCTCTCTATGACTCTCTCTCTCTCTCCCTCCCTCCCTCCCTCTCAGATTTTTTTCAGTCTCTCTCTTAGTTTCTTTCAGGTGTTACGGTCTCTCCCGACCTCGCTCGAGCTCACTCGACCTCTCCTGAGCTCTACTGAGCTCCCATGAGTTCTCTCCAGCTATTCCGATATTTCCTGACTTCTCTAAATCTCTTCGATCCCTTCTTTTCTCTTAATTTTCTAAGATATTTAAATTTCATTTGATGTTCATTGAGAATTGAGATGCTTGGTTGCCACAAGTGATTTTTTAATTAAACCTTCCGTTAACACTCATTCAAGATTAAGTGGCGAACGAAATTTTGTATTGTCAATCTAAATTTTGTTTAGTGCTTTTAGAGAATCGAAAACGCGTATTATCTTTGACATTACACACAATTGTTATGTTTTATAGTAAAAATAATTTTTACTCGTTACATTACAAACACTTACAACTTCTTATGTGCTACAGATACTTGTTACTTTACCCTACAAAAATTCTATTATTATTAATTTACATCGCAATGCTGTAAATGCTGTGTAAAATCTACTACAAAGATACATCAGTAAAATCTCCGAAGGGAAAAGGTCATCCCGGGAGCCCTCTTATATTTTAATTTTACCAAGACTATAGATGAAACTCACGCAGTCATGTCATGGGCAGTCTGTTAAACGGATCGTTGCATAATAACTGAATAATTTAATATTCGCGTTCCCAATTGTTCCTACATTCTCACCGGAGAGAAAGAAAGAGAGAGAACCTCCAAATGTCCCGCCGCGGTACGTACGTTCCATTCGCACGTGGGCGCAGTGAGTGAGGGAAATAAATTTCAACCTTAATTTTAATCTCGCCCCTATATTTATTATAATCGCAGAGCAGAGGGATATTTAATTGGAACAGTAAAAACTTTAATTACGGCTGGTCATAATAATCACAGTCGGAATTTAATCCGAGCAGGTCGACTGGGAAAATAGTTTAGTCGGGAGAATCCGGCAGTCCCCGCAATTTCCGTCCACACAGCGACCCTGTGACGAGACATAACCGGTGGCCCCGAAGTGTCTCGCGACGGGCGCGCGAACCTGATCTCGCAGAGCATAATAATCGTCAGCCGTGGCAGCCACGCTCGGCGGAAGTGGTTTTGTCGTGCGCGAGATAAAGCGTTATCGATCGCGTTACGTCGAGCTCTCTCGCGACGACATCGCGGCAGGAAGAGAAGGAGGAGCAGGATGAAGAGGAGGCAGAGGAGGGCGTAGAAGGTGGAGGAGGAGGAGTATCATACGGGCGTATGATAATCGTGTGTGCGTTTTGCCTCTTGCAGGTAACGCTGGAGAACTATTACAGCAACTTGATAGCGCAGCATATCGAGCGGAAGCAGAGGCTGGCGAAGCTCGAGGAGTCCCTGAAGGATGAGGGCCTGTCGGAGCAGCAGAAGCAGGAGAAGAGGCTGCAGCATGCCCAGAAGGAGACCGAGTTTCTCCGGCTGAAGCGGTCGAGGCTCGGTGTCGAGGATTTCGAGCCTCTCAAGGTCATCGGCAGGGGTGCCTTCGGTGAGGTAAGAGAGAAAGAGAGAGAGAGAGAGAGAGAGAGTCCGATCGATAGCAGATCGCGCTATGCGACGACCAATGAGCGAGCTAGTTGGAAGAGTTACACGGAGAAAAAGGTTTCCTTGGATTTGGCATTCCGATTCGCTTCACGTGGGCTCGTTGTGTTGAGGCGGCGTAATCTAATATAAAGCTTCATCTCGTTTCGTTGGATTTAATGTTATCCGATTGAGAAAAATTGCTTCAAACATATTCTTTCACATGTGCACGTACGAATTGAAATTTACGCCTGAGACAATTTCTCATACAATTTTCAACTATTTTTTACACATGTTTGAAATAATTTTTCAGTCATGTTTGAACATATATAAATGAAAAATTGTTTCAGACATATTTCATATGCTCGTATAAAAATATATTGTTTCGTATGTTATTCTATATCAATTTATACTCTGGATCAACCGGTATAAATGTTTGTTCACCTCTGCAGTGGTGATTTCAAATAACTGCGCGATTCTCTCAGGCCGGTTTTTTTTTTTAAATAAGTTTATCTAGATATCTTCTTACTTTATTGCTATTCTCTTTGGAGAGAATTTTGCAAAATAGAGTATAAAGTAATTTGTGTTTGCTATAAATTAAAAAATATGTACAATAGTTTAAGTGAATCAATAAGAATTTAATATTTCACCACAAAACTTTTCCGGGTTTTATTATTATTATTTGCGGGGTTAAAAATTCAATAGCAATTGTAGTGTCACCGTTGTGCGGTGACATTCGTTGATATTAATTATTGTCAACAGTAGTTTATTTGGATCGTTGCATCAATAGAATTTATGTGAATCCGACAGGATGGACGAAATTCAAAGAAATCCTGTGTAGGTGTGAGTTTGTTGAAAGTTGATTTAAGCGCGAAACCAACGCGATTCGGTAAAACGAATAATTCTGGAGCGCGTGGGGCTTATTCCGCGATAAAATCGATCGCGAAACGCGAAATTCATCACGACACATCGGTAGAAATCTCGCGAGCAAATACGCGAGCGATAGGGTATTATTTCGTAACTCTCGTTACGTGCGAGAACGTAAATTATACAGCAAACAGAATGTGACCGCTCGCGGTTCGCGCGGCAGTCTGACCGCATTAGAGATGAAGCTTGAACATCGTTTGGAGTTATAACAATTACAATAATAACGGAAATATATGAAAGGCGCTCTCTCGAGCGCTGCGCTATGATGGGGGCGGGATGGGCGCGCGTTTGCGTTCACGAGAACGAAATTATCTCATTGCCTCGCGGAAAAGAGCAGCATTTTTCTTCGCTTCGTAGAGCAAGTGGAATCTCTTTTGTGTAAAAAATCCGAGACTCTAGACGAAACAGAAAGAGCGGCTCTTTTATACACATTAGCACGCGACGGAAGTCTCGCTGAAGGATTTTCACTGAAAGTATACATCTCTTTTTGCGCCGCAAAATAAACAGGTGAGACTCGTGCAGAAGAAGGACACCGGACACGTGTACGCGATGAAGATCCTCAGAAAAGCCGACATGCTCGAGAAAGAGCAGGTTGCGCACGTCAGAGCGGAGAGAGACGTCCTCGTGGAGGCGGACCATCAGTGGGTCGTGAAGATGTACTACAGTTTCCAGGATCCTATCAATCTCTATCTAATAATGGAGTTTCTTCCCGGCGGTAAGTCGCGATGAGCGCCGGATACGCTTTTTATTTCTGCATAGCCACACATGCACACACGCGCACATGCGCGCGCGCACGGATATTCAATTCAAGATGATTCGCAGGTGACATGATGACGCTGCTTATGAAGAAGGACACGCTGTCCGAGGAGTGCACGCAATTTTATATTTCCGAAACGGCGTTAGCGATCGACTCCATACACAAGCTAGGTTTTATTCATAGGTATGTTTAATGCAACTATTCTTTAGTTCTGAAATTCTCCACTATAGAAAAGTAGTTGAAAATACGCTAAGCAAAGAATTAGATAGAGAGAACTGTTTTGGAGTTATGCAAATCTCGTTGCACAAACTGCAATCGAGTCAAACTGTGTAAAAATCAGGTCAGTTTAATAATCTGACGTGGGAATTTAGATAGACTGGAAAATCTAGATAGCAGTAAAATGATAACGAACCTGAAACGTAGTTGCGGGTATGGCGTACAACATTTTTCAACCGCTAAAAGATTTATCTGACTGCGTAATACGAGTAATTTTGTATATCTGGTGGAAAGATAAATAAATCAGGCGAAAAATGTGACCCCGCATATGTCGGGACAGTTTCATATGGTCTTCTCAGTGAATTTAATTTTGAGCTTGTTTCCCATAAACGAGAGATTAAGAGATCACGAGAATTTTGCTGAAAATTCTGCAGCGCAGTTCGCCGCATGAAGAATCCTAAAACGAAGTTCGTTTAACTCGATTCAACTTTTTTTTACAACGTCCCTCGAGGCCAGATGTCGCTTTATTTCTTGAAACTCACGCTCTTTATCGTTCTTCAACTTAGCAACCGAGACTTTGGGAGAGTCACGAATCAAAATATTAATTCAACGGTACTTTTCAGAGACATCAAGCCGGACAACCTGTTGCTGGACGCACGGGGCCACATAAAACTCTCTGACTTTGGGCTATGCACGGGTCTGAAGAAATCGCACAGGACCGACTTCTATAGAGACCTGAGTCAAGCGAAACCATCCGATTTCAGTAAGTGCTCACTCTTGGTGCTCGAGAGGACGCGTGAAGGAGGATTCATTAAAATGTGATGTTTACGTAGCGTCGGCTGACGCGATGATTTAACCGATACACCTTCGTCTGTTTTTGCGCAGTGACATCATGCGGGAGTGGAAGCGGCGGCGCGATGGACAGTAAAAGAAGGGCCGAGAGCTGGAAGAGGAACAGGAGGGCGCTGGCATACAGCACAGTTGGAACTCCGGACTATATCGCGCCGGAGGTGTTCCTGCAGACGGGTTACGGGCCAGCTTGTGACTGCTGGTCCTTGGGAGTTATCATGTACGAGATGCTCATAGGTACGAAATCAATCCGCTACCTTCCTACTTTTCTCACAGGAACAGTCCGGTTGAGACTGGTAAATTCCTTAGAGTACTATGTCACTGGGAACGAGTAAAAATACTCGAATCATGAAAATACTGCCACTCAGATCACAAGAGAGTGAATGTTTAACATTTCAAGCACTACGCTCGCCGTTTGTAACATACCAGATACAATTGTAGACAATGTAGTGTTTGTTGGGTGCTTTATTCGTACTTTGAAAGATACCACACTGAGACTTCAAAAGGTGCCATGTGTATCGAAGGAACTACGTGCACTTATTGATACCTGTCATGGACTAGATTCGAATAAGTTCTCACAGCTACCTAACGAATTTCATAAGGAAATCTAGCACTTAATAAATTTCTTCAAGCTCAAAACAGATCCTTAATTCATATAAACGTTATTCGAATAAACGTTTCAGTCTGTTGGAGTGAATTTATTAAAGTGACAGTATGAAGTAAATTAGATACGGTTTTCAATTTAAAGTAAAAACTATTTACTAATATTTAGAGCGGACAATCTATTCTTTATGAACAAAAGATGACACTCATATTTGAGCAACTCTGCTATCATTTTTGGAATTTTATTCAAAGATACTTTACAGAGTAAGGAAGAGGAAAATTAATCGAAGTTCTTATTCTTTCCTGATTCAGGATACCCGCCGTTCTGCAGCGAGAATCCGCAGGAGACGTATAGAAAAGTAATGAACTGGCGGGAGACGCTGGTCTTTCCGCCGGAAGTGCCCATTAGCGAAGAGGCTAAAGACGCAATTATCAGATTCTGCTGTGAAGCCGACAGAAGATTAGGTACGTCGCCGTAAAAGATATCCGTGCGCTTTTCTCGCGTATTTATGAAAAAATCTCTTTCTCACGACGAGGAGCTAATAATGATCGTCATCACGACTGATCTCGTTGCAGGGTCGCAAAGAGGCATCGAGGAGCTCAAGCTGGCGCCTTTCTTCCGCGGTGTCGACTGGGAGCACATCAGGGAGAGACCAGCCGCGATACCGGTCGAGGTGCGATCCATCGACGATACGTCCAACTTCGACGAATTTCCAGACGTGAAACTGGAGATACGTAAGTGCAAACACACACACACCCACACAATCTCCTCTGTCTCTTTGAATCGCTCGTCAATTCTCGAAGAGAAAGACACGCGACTAAATGTTCGTCTCCTTGCAGCGTCCGCGCCGATGCCTCAGGACGGCGAGGTAATATACAAGGACTGGGTATTCATCAACTACACCTTCAAACGCTTCGAAGGTCTCACGCAACGGGGCACGCCGACCAAGAAATAGCAACCCCTCACCTCCTGCTCGATCACTACTGCCGTCGCCGCTAATCAGCCGGCTGCTGACGTGATCGAAATTCCGGCCTTGGTACATCATCCTCATCATCCGCCGTTGTCGTCGTCCTTGACGCCGGCAGCGGCGACTGCGACGTCGCGAACGGCGGACGGCTGACCTGTCCCGCTGCGGGCGCGGTTCGTCGGTCACGCGTCACTCTTGTTTGTATATACGTGATGAGCACGGGTTGTCGTATGAATAAGCGCGCGGCGTTATCACGATTTGGCGATCGCGGCGATGAGCTCGGCGGCCAGCCAGCCAGCTATCCAAGCAGGCGGGAATGATACGGGAGAGAGTCTAGTGATAAAGGTGCACAATACCCACAAATGTCGCATGCCTTGGACGTATGCGTCGATAACGAGCGGCAGCAGCGGTGCGCGTCGTCGTCGACGGAGCGCGCGCGTTAAGGGCGATGCGAACGGAGATGGTCTATCTCGTTGTGCGACTCGCGCGGTGTGATCCTCGATTGTCGTGTGGGAGAGCGGCCGTCGTTCTCCCGCATTTTTGTCGTGCCGCGCAGAGCAGACGTGTATTGTGAAAAATTCGAAGTTCGAAGCGTAGCATAATAAGCTCTCTGTGGTAATGGTATTAAATGAAAAAGAAAAAAAAATGATATGGGAGGGAGCCTCGGTCCCGTGTGTGGTCCTCTCGCACGCTCACACGCACTTCTTATTTATCTGACGCGACGCGCGCGTAAGGATGGTAGTGTCCTTTTTAATACATTTGTGTCCCCGGCGTAACGCTCGGCTGAGCTCTCGAGTCCAAGCTCTCGCTCTCTCTCTCTCTCTCTCTCTCTCTCTCTCTCTCTCTCTCTTCTCTTTCTTTCTTTTTTTCTATTGCTCTCCCTCTTTGTTTCGGAAACGTTGTATTTGTACGATCCAGCCCTGTGATACGAAGTTATTGATAAAATTCGTGTGAAACCCCGCAAATAACTTTTTGTTAGCGGATGCTAATGGTTTTATTAATGTTGTAACATACGTACATGTGTATATGCGCTTAATCAACGTTTTTTTTTTATTTGTCTGAAGAATCTAAAAGTTGTTAGCGATGTGAGAGTCGGATTTTTATATTACGTATTTTCATGGTGCTTTTTTGAGAGCTTCAGTCTGTGTTCACGGAGAATCATGTTAGTTAAGCGAGTGGCAATGCGCAATGCACCTCTCATTCGAAATACCAATGCGTTTCACTCATTTTTATCATTGTGCGATTGTAATATTATGTGTACGGTTAACTCTTTGGCACCGGGTCTCTCTCTTTCTCTATCTATCTCTCTTTCACACATACACACTCTCTCTCTCTCTCTCGCCGTCTATCTCTCTTTCTCTTGTAAGGCGATAATTTAACCATGTCCGAATACACGATAAAAAAAGGGACGCTAAACTTTAAAAACACCGTAAAAAGGCGTTAAGAAGAAGAGGGAGAAAGAAAGAAAACACTGTTAAGATTCAGGGCTCCTTCGTTGCCTTATTAAGGTTCCTAACAAACAGACAGCCCAAACTGTATGTTCAAACGCATACGATGAACCAGATTGAGCGACTTCCCCGAAAGAACGACGAAAAAAAACGATACTGTGCGTCGACGTGTGTATAATCGATCGTTCTATGTACACGCATAAACAAACACATGTACACGTCTTATACACGCTGTATGGTTTTAACGCCCCATGGAACCGGATATCTTTCCTTTCGATCGCACTGTGGGCGATTTTACGATTTGCATTTCGTAGTCTTGCTGATAGCCAGGGCACCTTGGTAATAATAGCGTAATTACGATAAAGACTAGGTAACACCCTTAAGGTAACAATACAGTATATACATACACACGGAAGTACCTACGTGAAAGAAGAAAAAAAAAGAAGATACACGCGCGCGCTCGAAAACGTAATCACAAGTTGTGGATATTGTAACTCCTTCCTCGTAACGTTTCGCCGTATCACTTATTCTCTCTCTCTTTCTCTGTCTCTCTTTCTCCTTATCTAAAATCGTGAAAATTATAATCACACGCAATTACGCCGCTGTACATTCGACGAAGAGAACATTAGTTTCGTACGACTCCGCCTGTGGTGTATATCTTAAATCCTTGTCCACAACCTTGCTTTAAGATGTAAGTTGTAAGAAATTGATCAACTACAGCCGATTATTCTAAAAATCGGCAATGATCGGTCAATTTCTTACGGTTTACGTCTTAAAGCAAGGTTGTGGACAAGGGCTAACGCCGTTTACAGAGTAAAAAGAAAAAGTCTCCACGATAGTCTAACGAAGCTGAGGTCGCCTAGGTTACGGTGTATTACCAATTAAGCCAGTAATTTAAATGACGAGAGAAAATAGAGGAGAAGAAGAAGAAGAAGAAAAATAAAATAGAAAATTATCCGCGAGAAGAGCTAGTAGAAAGGCGAGAACTATTTTCTGCTATTGCTAGGAAGTTCAAATCTCGAATCGTGAGTTGTGAGCGTAAGCGGGAAAAGTAGGGAGTTATGGCATAGGTCTCTTTAGTCTCCTGTCGCCGTTGAGTACAGATGCTCAGACGTCCATGCTACTAAATAAAGAAAAAAAAGACGAAGTGATCGCAATTTATTTATTTAAAGAGAAAGTCTAAGTAAAGAAAAAAAAGAGATACAACAATAGCCACAAGATGCCTTCGACGCAACAAGTTTCGGTGCCCTGGAACAGTGAATATACATATAAATAAATATATATATACATAAGTATATATATGTAAAAAAATATATTATATATATATATATACACATAGACATTGTTTAGCGGAGAGAGAGAAAAGCGTATAATACGCGCTAAACTTAGGTGTTAAATATTAGGTGTGCTGATACGAAAGTGGACGAAGTGTAAATTTTGGTTTTTTCTGTTTCTTTCCTTCATTCTGTTGTCTCTCTCTCTCTCTCTCTCTCTCTCTTTCTCTCTTTCTCTTTCTTCTCTATCTTCTCATTTCGAAGGGGGCTCGATGAGAGGCGAGCGTATTAATATAGCGGTTGGCGACGAGATGTATGTATACACGTATGAGCTACTCTACGCATTTAACGATGTAAACGAGATGTATTCCGAGGACGCAGGTGGGAAAAATCTCCAAGAAGTAGACTTACGGTATTGATACGTTGGTGTGACACTTGTAAATATTTAATAACGAGGCAACTAAATGTTACTTGAGAGAAGCAGCAGGCAGTTCGAGCTCCGGTGTGTTTAATTGGTTACCGCTACTACTGCCATCCTCGACTCATCACCACACTGTATGCGTCGCGCTTAAATCGCATTACGACGGGTGTGTTGGGAGCGTGTAACGGTATTGTCATCCGGTCCACCCACGTTTTCGCTCGTGTTCTCACGCTAGTGTTCTTTATCATCGTACGGATTACCGATTAGTTGTTAATTTACGGTTAATTTAAACGAATGAGGAAAACTCGTGTTATAGATCTCTCTCTTAGACGATTCTTACTGATTAGGTGTTAAGTCTCTACTTCTTCCTCGACAAAGATCTTGGTTTCTCCATCGGTTGTTTTCCCCTCTTAGTCTCTCATTTCCTTTTTGTTTTCTTTTTCTTTTTTTTCGTTAACTAGCGATCGCTTCCTAAACGTTCTCGGAGACTTTACTCGTCCAGAGCTTTCGCTTCCCACAGATTCGTGTCTTCTACTGTTTCTCTGTCTCCCCCTCTCTCTCTCTTTCCCCTCCCCCCTCTCTCTCTCTCTCTCTTTCCCCTTCTCTCTCTTTCTCTCCCTTTCTCGTCTATCGTATCTATCATAATTTTCGACCCTGATCATGCGATTCCTTCCTGTCGCGATACGTAGTATCCATGTAATATCACGTATACACACACACACTCACAGGCGCACACTTGCGAATACACCAATTGCATAAGAAGCGAAGAAGCTAAACAATCCGATCATTGTCAATCCGCATACGAATATCGCGGAGGCGTTCTTCCGAATATCTCGCCGATGCACCTTCAGAGCCTGGATGAGTAACGCGTCGAAATCGCACTTTTAAACGACATTTTTCCCCGGCTAGTTTCCGGCGTTCGTGATCATCCAAGAAAATGCTTTCCTTCCTAGCTTCGTCGGGCTTTCAATGTAACGACACATCGGCCTCTAAAGCCGACGTAAATCGCCGAGGGGACGACGAAGACGAGCAGCAAAATCACGAGCAATACGAATAGAAAAATAAGAAACCAGCTGCTGTTTATTATCGTTCCACTTAGTCGTCTCACAAGGGCGAATATTCGCGTGAGTCACGTGTCAAGGATGATCCCAACAATGACGTAAAAAATCGCGAAAGATCAATGCTGTCGGTGCGACAGAGTTTTCTTTCATACGAGCTGTTTATCGCATAAAAACCTATCGCGTGACGCGTTACTCATCCAAGATCAACGGGGGATCGTGTCACTCGTTCACAATGACGATCCCTCGATCGGCTGACACGCGAAATGACGATTTGCGCAAAGTGCTCTTGAATAAACATTTTATAACATTTATCGATTTACGGCGCAAGACCTAAGACTATGCAGATCGAGGGCGTAGTGGGATGTAAGAACGAGACGGGAAGCAAAGTTGATCTTGAAAAAAAAATATCTCAAAAGAAGAGGAAGAATAAATAAGAGAACAGAAGAGAATTTCGCTCATTTCTTAGTCTCTCGTATGTATATTTCTATCTATCTATCTGTCTGTCTCTCTCGTTCTTATACCTCGCTACGTCTACGCAATCTACTTTACTACCGCGCAAAGCGCGTTTGGTTGCGCGCGAGTCACTCGAATCGTCCCGACGCGCGTTGCTGAGCAGCCGAAATAACGTCAGCTTGATAAGTCACCGCGCGAGCGAATACCTCGCTCAGAACACAGACACACGTTACACACAACACACCAGCGAAAACGAGGAGGAAAGGAGGAGAACGCAAAGGAAGATTGAAGAAGGGAAGAAGAAGGGAAAAGAATTGCGCGCGTTACGATATATGCGAATATCGAGTGAATATCTATCTTCCCCCTTCGGGGAGATAACACGATCGGGAGTGTGTTATCTGTCACTGTAACCGCACTAATGTTCCGTAGCAGCGCGCGGCTTAATCGTTTCGTTTTCTCACCGTTTTGTACAGTGATTTAGCTGAATTTTACGAGCCGGTCTTTCTCGGATATAGCGTATAGGTAGAAATTCTTCGCGATTAATCCCCGTTCGAGCGTAGCGATAGCAGACTCTTAGGCACGGCCAGTCTCGCGCTCGTCGTTAGTCCTACGGTGACCAGATAACAGCGTCGAGATGCGAACGAGTGCAATGACGCGCCCGTCTCACTGTTAAAGCGGACAGCCTCGGCACAAGAGGAGCCCCAAACAGTTATTTTCTCTTCCTCCTTTGAATTAAAAAGAACTGTGAATCAGTAGCCGTTATTTGTAACTTGTCTCAGGTGAGATATTCAGATTTAAATTTAGAGTTAGATGTGAGTTTCCCAGTTGAACTGAAATTATTATCATGTCACGTGTATCATATGATTAAACTCAGATCCAGCTTTAAATTACAGTCTGAGTATCTCACGTCAAACTAGAGAGAAAGAGAAGAGAGAGAGTTTTAAGTAATGACTATTAAAACTATCTAAGACTTGTATTAATAATCGTTAATTGGTCCGTTTTAATAGTCATTACTTGAAACTTGTCCCACGTGAGATATTCACATATGAATTTGGAGTTGAGTTTTTTTCTTAAATCGCACAATATATGTGACATTACATTTTCAATTTCAGTTGAAAGCTGAGTCAGCAATTCAGCTAAAAGATTCACATCTAACTCTAACAATAAGTTCAAATCCGAGTGTCTCACCTGAACCAAGTGTCAAGCAACAACTATTAATACAGTCCTAAGACTTGCTTTGGATATGAGATATTCAAATTTAAATATAAAGTCAGATGTAAGTCAGCTGAGAGTTAGTTGAATCGTGATTATAAATATATAATCGATTCAAATAAAAAACCTCAGTTACGTAGCTACAAGTTCAGATTTAAGTGTCTCACGTGGGATAAGTTTCGAGTAATGAATGTTAATACGGGGGCCTAAATTGTTTAGAGAAAAATGTTAAGCGCGCTGTTTGTCCCTCATAACGCGATCTTTGACAGACGAGAAAGTCGTCACGGTTTCGTTAACGTTTCTTCGAACGTGAAGATAAAAAGAGCTCAGATATCTACGCGATATCGCTGTTAATTTCTTACAAATAATGGGATTCAAACGGTGAGACGCGTCGTTGTACTCAATTGCACGATGACGAATTTCGTCGAGTTTACACACAGCACGGAGTGTCCGTTGCATGTGGCTTGCCGTGTAAAATTCGCACTTGTTTGAGAGAAGAAAAATAAGAAAAGAAAGCGATAAAGAAAAGACTACACTCGCGCGCGAATCGCCGCGATTGTTTTCCGGAGACACGGAGAGGAGACCGGAACGAACCACACGCGCGGACGCACGACGGGCAAAGGTAAACATGTATATCGAGCGCGGATATTTTATAGTAGGCTTGTGATTAAATCGAGGATTTATTGTGTCGAACGGTCTGAGACTAAAAATGGAAAAAAAGGCAAAAAACAAAACGATGTATAAAGAGAAATATTGCTTTCCACACGCAGAATATACTATTGTAATTATGTCGTTAATAAATTGTTTTTTATTTTAAATCTTGCAAGTATGTGTACGTGTGTGTGTATGGCTGCACGTGTGCACTTGTGTGTGAGTATGAGGGTAACCCTCCTTGTGATCCCTCCTGCGATAAAATCTCATTTACGGGGTGTAATTTAGTTTGGTAGTTGCGCGCGATAGTTGTGTGAAACTGAGCAGCACTCGCCGGAAACTGGACAGCTTCGCAACTCGAGAGCGACGAAGAGTAAGAAATAAGGGGATAAAGAAGAGGGGAATGGTATCTTCCGGTTTTATGAATCAAAGTTCGCAGCCCAGTGTCGTTTACTTTTGTATTATGTGACGCGATTTGTGAAGAATCCAGTTTATCGGGCAGGATAAAAAAATTGAGATTCCTTTAACATATTTTCAATTTAAAACCACGTTAAATTAGTACTTTCGATTTTTGGAAATCGCAGGCAATTAATGGTTCAAATAATTTCGTTTATTTGAAATAATATAGAATTTTGTTTCAGTGTATAATTTACATTCAACTTCATATTCAATTTTTATTCTGTACAATTTAAAATAACTTTCATCAAATTTCCACTAAATAATGCGTAAATAACAGGCATAATTTTGCCAACATCTCAAACTTCCGCTGTACAATTTATTATCAAAACGGAAAAATTAATCATTTTTGTCTATTTTAATAAAACTTATAATAGCTTAGGTAATAGCTTAGTTGACATCGATATGATAAGATTGTCGATTAAATTAATTGGAATTTGATAAAAGTTTCTTTTAATTAAAGATTATTGCCAAGACAAAAATTTTTGTTAAAATATTTTTGAGAAAAATACATATCTAAAATTATTGCGAGAATGCATATTTTTTATTTGCGTCAAGTTTGAGTTATAAAATTTTAAAAATTCGAATTCCTTGTAAAAAAAACGTGTATGTGTGTGAGCACACATATCGCGAAATTTTTATACGAAATTTTCTTCAATTTTTATTTTTCAATATTTTTTTCAATTTCGTTAAAAATATAAGTTATATGAGTTATACAAAACTTCATACCTTCAAATCTGCCGAAGACGTGAGTACATCTCGAATTGCACAAAGAAAACCAATCGACGATCCGCGAGTTTCACGGATTCTTTCCAATCCACTTGGCGAAGTTTGTCGCGAAACAGCGGGAAGCGTTCGAGATAACAAAGAAAATACTTCGCCGTCGGAAAAAACCCTACGTCCTTCGTAGAAGCCGGATAAATTAACGACACGTACAACTTGTGCGATTATATGACACTGCGCGGCACTTTTCTTCGAGAAAATGCGAGACTGATTGATTCCGGTGACACTTTGTCGTCCATTACCGCGTACATTCCTGTTCTTCCCGCGGCGCGAAACGCGAGCCAATCACTTACGACCGCCAGGGCGAATTTTATCCATCCATGGTGTAAGAATATAAGGTGTACCGTTCCCGTGGATGTGCAGTCGTCCTCATTTCGACCACTCAGAGACTATCTAAAATGCAATAAGTTAGAGTGAAAGAAAATATATTTGTCTCACTCTAACTTATTGTACTAGTTCACTCGTGCAGCGAAAATAATGAATAAATCATTTATAAACTTTCATGGAGAAGCCTTCAGTCAAGAAGACAAAATATTTGATAAAGTAACCGATATTGTCTGTCCGCAATTAAATAACAATTTTCCGAAAGAGGTAATTGCATGTCTTGTTCGCACTCGAATATTCGATTACGAACACTCAATAAACGAATTGTTGCAAATAATTTGATTAACAAAAAAGAACGGAAAATTTACAAAATTGCAAACAAAGAAAATATGAAAAATTTATAATAGTTTCAAATATATATTTTTATATATATATTTACATTTTGATAAAATAATCGTTCATGTACAAATATACATTTTACTATTATTAAATTATGTTTTGTTCATATCTCATTATTTTCACCCGTTGTATTATTACATTACACAGTACGTTTTCCAATTACACAAGTGATCAATTCTGTATCTCGGCACTTCGGTGCAAAGTTCAAAAGTGAGCGAATATACTTTAAGTTGGCCAATAACAGTACAAATATTCTAATAAATATGCTCACTTTTGTATTTGTCACAAATTGACGAGAAACACAATCGACTCCAAGGACTCCTCTATTTCGATTACATCTGTATTTACTGTGTAAATCTGCAAATGTGCATATCTGCAACCATTCATAAAGTTAGTGTAACGTAGTTAGTGTACATCCTAGATAACATTCAACATCGCAGCATTTGTCTTAACGTTCTTGTTTATTGTTTTATTCAAATTTGTGAAAATATATATAACATTGTTCTGCTTATAATATAAAACAATACACACACACACACACACACACACATATATATTTATTTATTTATTTATTTATATTTATATATTTATATATAGTTAACACAAGAATAAGTTATTACTTTCCCACAACTTACATACGTTAATCCAATATTACACCTTTCTTGCTTTTCGTTGAATTAAACACTAATTATTTATAAACGATATAGCATTTAACTAATATTCTATTTAAGAACAACTTATTTACTCAATTTTCTATTATATTTATAACATTGTTTTCACTTTTTGTCTCACTGTAGATAAAACTGCATTTGAATGTTGCGATTGAATTTTGGATATTATTTCATTGGCTATACCCCTACTTTTCCTCCTATTATGCGCAACGGTACATCTTATATTCTTACACTATGCATCCGTCGTGTCTATTGGATCGGATCTACAGGTATAGTAATGGCTTGGTTTACATCGTGCACTTGATACGCGTACTAAATAGTAATTTTCTATTAGATAATCTTAATATCGACAATGCATATCAACGGCGACGCATTCAATCAATACAATACGTTTTGTTGATGAGTATTATACTATCTTAATATATCGCTGTTTATATATATCGTCAATATTAAGATTATCTAACAGAAAGTTACTATTTAATACGCGTATCAAGTGCGTACCAAGCCAATGGCTTGGTTTACATCGTGCATTTGATACACGTACTATATAGTAACTTTCTATTAAATAATCTTAATATTGACAATGCATATCAACGACGATGCATTCAATCGATAAAATAAGTCTTCTTGATCAATATTATGCCAGCTTAATATATCGTTATTCATATACATCGTCGATATTAAGATTATCTAATAGAAAGTTACTATTTAATACGCGTGTCAAGTAACCGTGTAACCAATCATACCTTTGTATTCTTTTAGAAATTCCAACAGAAATACTAAACGTCGCAATTTATTGGTTACGCGTTTACGCGGTACGCAGAAAATATTTGCTATGGCTCCTGCACATAGGACGCAGTAATGCTTGCCGCGCGGCGGAAGTCCGTGCAACAGCCAATCAATATGTTGTTTTTTCGTAACAGCTAGAAGGTTATTACGGAAAGCAGCATATTGAGTGGCTGTCGCGCGAACTTTTGCCGCGCGGCAAGCATTACCGCGTCCTGTGTGTAGGAGCCATTACCACGTTCTGTGTGCAGGAGCCATAAGTCCCGATTTACAATAGATGTAATAAGCTTTAAGTCTTAAGAAATTGACCAATCACAGTGAAATTATAGAGGAATAATCAATTTTGATTGGTTAATTTCTTACGGCTTAAAGCTTACTATACCTATTGGGTGCTTTCCAATTGCTTAACATATCTTGACACACACGTACACAAGCCAGTTTATTGGTTACATATTATCTAAAATATCTTGTAAGATAATATGCAACCAATAAGCTGGTTTTGTGTAACAACACAGCACAGTGTATGCACCTGTCACGTCCGACCGACCAGGCTGCCAGCCAGTGATAATTTTTTGTTCAAATAATCTTTTACCTGAGACACTCCAGGTACGAAACCTTTCTTTCCCAAAAGGAAGCACATCACTACCATTCAGACTCCCCTCCTAAAAGTGGGATCACAAAAGCTCAGTAGCACTAGAGTAGTGATCGGCGTAGCAGTCAGTCAGAGTCGGGTGCCGGGATCGGAAGTCGAAAGGTAGTCCTCATCTTAAAATCCCATTTCTCTAATTCACTAATTCTAAATCTCAGTTTCCTCTAATTCTTAAGCAATTAACTTTAAGTTATCTTTAACATTCTTAAACATTTACGAGCGTTTTATTCTAATGCACAATTCTTTAGTTTGTTAAACAGATCATTTTAGTTATTTCGTCACTTCCGTTATTCTAGCCATACTTAAGATATCTTTGTGAGCATATTATATATCAAGAATTATACAATACATATTATATATATATATACATATATATATATATATATATATATATATATATATA